AACCAGTTTTATGATTTTATTCAGAAAAATAGGCTTTGTGTATTGTCCTCTTATTTCAGAACCGTATGTATTAAATATAAAGTGCAAACAATTTTTCATCATTTCTGATAATCTATAAATACATTAGTGGGGAAAATAATTTCCTGGATCATGCTGGAATTACTGAATTATTCCTCTATATCACAGCTTCTCTTGGACTGTAGTAAAAGAGATTATCTGTGAATCTTTACCTGCAGTTATAAAGGCCAGATTAAAATATTCTGAAATCATACTGTCATCATGAAAACTGAAGTTGCCTGATTTGATGAGATCAATTTTTGTCTCGTTAAGTGTGTTTATCTAGTGGTAGAGAAAGATGCACTCTTGCTGTTTTTACATGATAGACATAAAATGATGGGATTCATCTTGCTTACATCTAGTTGAGTAAATTAATCATGTAGCACTTTGGATATCTAATAAAGAAACATATATACCTCCAAAGGTCAGTTAATCTCCTCCTAAACAGAGAAATGAAGAGATGCACGTAAATGGTTTTTGAGAGCTCTCTCATTGCAATAGCACAGAATTCAAGACAAATAATTTATCTGTCCAAAAATATACATGTTCAACTGCTCTGAACTGCTTGCAGAGTGGTTGCAGTTTCTCAAAGTCTCGTAGGCCTACACATACGGCTTACACATATATGCAGTGGTCTAAACAGCAAGTGTGGGTTTTGTGCTTAGTTACCACTTTGAATTAACTTCACTCAAGCTGTTAATTTTCTGTAATACTCATAACATGATACACCCAAAGGAAGAGTCTAATTTAAACTTGCTTTGTTTTATTTTAATAGCAAAATGGAAAAAATAAGATAGGTAAAAAGCAACTGAGATCGGTAGGGAAGCAGCCTTTTCATGGGCAATGCTTCATTTCTGTCTTCATCACAACTCTCTTGAGTGCCACTATCGCCTAATATCTGTAGCAGTCAGAATTCCTCCATTCACCTTGGTTTTTAGGAGCTTTTTCTGCTAGAGAGAAATACAAAATAAAAAAAAAAAATATGTAATTAGGCAATTGTATTTTCTTCAATACAGTAATTCTTCCTCTATTTTCCATAGTTTTGGGTTTTGTCTACCACTTCCTCTGATTAGGAGTTGGATTTTGGCTTGTTTTCCTTTAATGGCCTTCATAGGATCCTAGGATAAGTCAGGTTGCAAGGGACCTCTGGAGGTCTCTAGTCCAATGTCAGGGGTAAGATCAAGCCAGGTTGCTCAGGGCTTTATCTAGTCTGGTCTTTAAAACCTCAAAGGAGGCAGACATTACAACCTCTCTGGGCAGCCTGTGCCACTCACTGTCTGACTGTCCTTACATTAATTCTACACTTGTTTTGTTTGTTAGTAAGCATATTGCTCTACTATATACTGTAAATGAATAATACAAAGAATAAAAGATTTTGTGTTTTCTCCCCAAGACTGGTTTCAGAGTGAGAAAAATACAGAGAATTAGCTACCCGTTACCAGCACATGATATATTCCTGACAGAACTAACAGCTCTGGAATTGAACTCTTGGTGGTAGAAATTAGGAATTTTATATTTCAGAACAATTTCAAGACTGTATCTGACTGGGCTGGCAGAGCAGGCTGGTGCCCATCTCTAGTTCTTCTCCGTTCTAAAGGTACAAGTTTTCTAGAAGTACTTTACTTCAAATAGTCGCATTGAAAATCAGAAAGTGTGACAGCTCCTGTTTGTTTTTCTGATTGTTCAATTGGTTTTTATTAATTTGAAAGTTATGTGTCTTTATGAAGGGAATAAATGGATCTCCTGTGTATGGAGGCAAGGTTGCACTTTCCCTGGGAAACGGTTTTGGGGACAGAAGTATCCATCCACTGGTGTGGATGGTGGTATCCATCTGCTGGTGTGGATGGTGGAGAGCAAGAGTCATAGCAAAAGCACCTGGGAACCTGTAGTTTATCCAGAACCTAAGAGGCTGCAGAGAAGCACAGAGAAGAAATAACCAGGCCTCAGTGGTGATGGAAAACAACTTCTTGGGATCAAAGAGTACTTGGCAGTTTGCTTCAACCAGAAATCCACTTAGTTGTTTGAAACCAAATTTAAAAGGAAGGACAGGCAAAGGGAGAGGTGCTTATATCCATTGTGTCTGATCTCGTTGCTCCAAGTGTTCTCAGTCATAAATTCCCTATTAAAAGTAATTAAATTTGTCTTTTTTAGTTTAAAAGCCCTTTGCCTTCTTTGGAGAGACGTCTTTAAGGAAAAGGTATAGACAGACGCATCTCAGTCCTTTGGCTGACTCTGGGTCCTGTCACAGAAAATGTTAGTACAGAGCATGTTTTTTTGCAAAAATTGGCTTGTTTAGTTTGACTTGCTGACTCATTTTTCCAGCTGGTCTGTCATTCTACTCAATTCCAGATGAGGCAATAGGAAAAAGAAAACTCTTTTGAATGTTCCACCCTCTTGCCAAACCAAGTAACAATTAAAACCTCCAATTTTCATTGCAGTTCTTTATCTCTGTTAATTATCCAAGGAACAGTAAATCAGATATATTGTCCTCTGCTTGTTGTCAATAATTTAAATTCTAAAGTCTTTATGGATTAGTTGCAGATTTAGCATGCTGCTTCTTTTCCCTAAATTACATACTATTTCACAACTTGAATCCAATGCAGTGTTTCATTTTTACATTTGAGATCAAATGCTAGACAGTCAAGTCTAATTGACTCGTGTTTTATACACACACAAGCAAACCCACATGACTCTGTCTTAACTTAATTAGTTACTTTTAATCCGAAAGAGACATCAGGTCATTCAACTATCTAACTAGTGGCCTTCAGTGGGGTTTTTCTTATTGAGCCATAATTTTTGAGAAGAATGTAATCTGAATCAAACGTTTAGTGGACACTAAACTGGGAGTAGTGGTGAGTCCAAAAAAAAGAACAGAAGTATAGTAGGCAGGGACCTTGTGAGCTGAGAGATACCAATAGAAAATAGCATTGTGATATTCACCTTGGAAAAAATAGATGTTAATTAAATAGAAACAGAAAGATCCATTAGAAGAGTTGTAGCTGACATTTTGTAAAAGAGGTCAAGAACAAACGGGGAATGGGAAATGTAGCTTGAATTTACAATGTGATACAGTATTAAAAAATAAATGAGATGTAGACATAGGTGAAGTCATGTTCACACTATCAATACTGATATTTTCAAGGTAACAGAAGGCATTTTTCATCTGTCTCTATCCATATGAACTATGAGAACAAAATTTTACCATCATACTTGTACAGTCATTCCCATACCTATCTGGGTAACTAGAACTATAATTGGCTTGACTCATTACTGAGAAATGACCCCATATGGGATAGTCTTATTAGTTTTATTGAAAAACTTTGAATTTTGTCTGTATTTAAAGAAAACAAGCACCTGAATCAGAATTCAGACCAGCAGAGTAGTTGTTTTAATTCTGCTTTTAACTGCAAAAGCAAAGGGTTTGTACAGATAAAGCAAATCGAAATGCATTGTTAACTAAAAATGACATCTAGCACAAAGCTTTGTTCACCCTCCTTGCATATAGGGGTCAACGCTAATAAAGTTTCATCAATTGCTAGCTGCTGACTGATGATTTGGAGCTATTCCTACAGCCTTTGGATAATACATAAGCTCTGATTATGTCACACAATTTTTGTTACTTATTTGACAAATGAAGGTTTAGGTAGTAATTGCACATGCTAAATAATATGATGAAAATTTGTATGAATATTCATTTAAAAACTTAGCAATGATCAGTAGTTTACAAGGAGTCCCTGCAGTTTTATATTGTGAATATTATTTAAAGAAAACATTACCTTGTTACTCAGTTACAGCCCGCATGCAAGTTAATTGTATTATGTTTTAATTTTAAACATAGTCATCAAGCTCCATAGAAAGGAATTCATATTCTAATTTCATGTTGTGATCTGTGATTTGTAAAATGAAGTGGTAAAGTTAAAGGTCTGTAAAGAAAATGATGCCTGAAAAGGAAAGGCAGTCTGGGTCTTGGACATTCCTTTAGAAGGACATGATAACAGTGAACAGCTTATTAAAACTGTTGGGAAAATATGTTTCCCACCTTTTACAGAAACACTCAGCTTTGGAGCAAAATGTTCAGCCAGAAGCTGTAACATAATATCTGTGATTTTTCTATGTGTCTTGTAGGATTTTTAATTTGTATACAGCAATACCAGGTTTTGGTTTAATTTTTTCTCATTCAAATCAGACAATTTGCATGGAAAATAATTTCATCTGAGAAGCCTGTTTTCAGTCCAAAACTTCGATAGAATTTTGTGAATTCTTCTGAAGTCATAACTCCTCTCAGTTGCTGAGATAGGTTGGAGTTGAATTGGCTAAACAGAATAGAATTATGCATATAAAACATATAGCTTTACTGAATATCAAGAGCTTAAAGTGAAATTTTAGAAGCTTAACCCTTTCATGGAACTCTGTTGAACTAATTTAGTGGTTTTACATGAAAAAGACTGAAAGTCTGAGCAAAATGAGAATTTGTTTTCTGTAGTATCTGAAAATTTCATATCTTTTTTCCTGAAATTATTTTATTTCCTAAAAAATCCTGATTTCATTGCTTTGAATTCTACTGCCATGCATATGTTCATTTTAATTCATTGGTGAGTGTTTAATATTGATAGGACATTATGTCAACTAATTTAACAAAACCTGAAGAGTTATAATTACCACCCTAGGAAAAGAAAAAAAAAATTAAACAGTTCATGGACAGTAAACAATGTAACAGCTTTAAAGTATGACAGATGCATTGAAAGAACGTTCTTCCTGAGTTCTACTTCATGGACCAAATAATAGGAATACATAAAATATCATAATAACAGTGTATCTATTATGGTGATAAAAAATGGAAAATTCACACTTTTCTTTTTCTGTTCAAACGTATGAAAAATCCAAGTATCATTAACTTGAGAGTCACAGCTAATTAACAACATATTGTTTTTTAACTTGCATAGGTACGTGTGTTCACATTTTCTGTTGGTCAACATAATTATGACAAAGGACCCATACAGTGGATGGCCTGTGAAAATAAAGGTACTGTGTTTTTCTTTGAGACTATTCTTTGCTAGAGCTTTGGACAGGCCATATCTTTATTTTTCTTTAAAAATTACAGGGCTTTTTTTCAGCCTGATTTTTAGCTTTTTTGTATTTTTAGTAAAAGTTCCAAAAAGTTATTTGATGAAATAATGTTTAAATGCATATATATATATACATATATATAAAAAGAATAAGCTTGGATATTTATTTCTGATTACTTTATTTAAAACTTTATATTGTAAGTAAAATATCAAAGTATTTTTTATAGTAATAATAATAAGATATTATGGTTCAGTTTTGAGAACTCTTGTTGTAATAGCCATCTATGAAAAGATGGAACTGATGACAGATAAGAAATTAAGCAAAGCTGTTTTATATTAAGGGGTCTGGACAAAGGGATTTTTTGTTTGGTTGGTTGGCTGGTTGGATTTCTTTCCAGATGACCAGATGACTTGCATTATTTTTCCCTTCTTTGATGAAAATATCAAAATTATTCTTGCTGTGATTTCTTAGATTCTAAGAGCATCTTACATTTTGTTTTATTTTTATCCTGATTTCTTTATGTAAGGAAAAAAAAGGTTTAAAAGGTGAGAGTAAGGAAGTAAAATGCTTTCTGCTAAAATTTCTACATGAAAAATGTGGTCAGAAACATTTTAAAAAAGTGTGAGAAAGAGGTGTCTCAAGTACCTTACAGCATAGTTATGGAACAAGAGATAAGAGATAAATACAGATAAATAGAAAATAGAGAAATTATCAAATGATATTGTTTAATATCTTAAATAGAGCAATTTCCAGGCCTGACTGAAAAAGTGGAAGTATTTTACAAATCAGTAAAAAGGAAGACGTGAAAGGTGGGATAGATTACAAAGGGTCTTGAAGATTAAGACTGCCAGGGAAGGAGGATAAGATATGATTCTCAGGTATGAAAATAACATAAACCAAAAAGAAGAAAAAGATATAGATACAGAAACAAATAATGATATAGAAGAATCCATAGCCTGTATGAATAGCATGCATAGTCTCGTGAATCCCTCAGTATGCTGGCAAGTTATGCAGAAGATACTACAATGTCATGTAAAGCAGATTGTATTGTCGGATGGTTACTGAAAATCATTTGGTTTTTTGAACAGGAATTTTTTAACTAACGTCTTTGTATCTCAAAATACTGTGTGCATGTGAACTCCATTGTTTTAAAACAAATGAGGACCAGCTGGCTTAAAGCATAACCACCTATGTCATCTTATTGTTGAGGCAAAATGATCATAATCTTCTGTCCAAAATTAATGGGATTATTTTTTTGCATATCCAAAGAAGCATTCTTTTTTTTTTCCTTAATTAAAAGTTTTAATTTATTGTCAAGTCAGGCATTGCTTACGGCAAAGTAAACGACTAACCTCAGCACTCCTACCTCTCCGGTCCTCCCCACTCCCTTCCAATTTGACTTACAACTTATTTGGTCTGAAACTGCACCTCAGTGCCTGTCTTTTCAGTCTTATTGGTGCATATGGGCAATATTTTTAAGTCAAACAAATAAGTGATATAATCAGTGATGAATAAAAACATTTCTGATGTTCAGTTAGAAGAAATGTCAGTTTGATTTTTACATTCTTTACACAGAGTGCCTTATATTTTTCTGCTATGAACTTCACTGTTGTGGCAGACTGTAGCTATACTCACATTCCGATATGCATTCAGCATATAATTCTGTTGCTGTCACAGTGTATTAAAACGACCATTACATATACTTGCACATCAGAGTAACTGGGAATTCCGGAGTACAAATTCAGTACGTTATCTCAGCTTTAAAAACAACAGACGAAAGAAACACATTATATACTCTCAATGCTTAAGAGTAACTAACATGGCCTATATGGCATGGTAACCCATCATATGTGGCCACACGTTGTGGTGGCATCTACTAAAAAAGTATTCCATTCATACGTTAAATTAAATAAACTAATTTACAAATTACAAGCTAAATGAAATTCCTCAAGATTAAGAGACTAGCAATATATTATAGTAAAATGACATTATTTCTGTTCCAAATTTTAGGTTATTATTATGAAATTCCGTCCATTGGAGCCATAAGAATAAACACCCAGGTAAGTCTGTTGGCCAAATGTAGACACTGTTGTAAAACAAACAAGTGGGGTAATTTTTTTAAATGTGTCACGTTTCACCTCTGTTTGAATCAATTAAATTTTAAGATACACTGCATGAAGAACAGGGAAAAAAAATAAGGATTTCTTTTACATATGAGGTATTCTGTTAAAGTATTCTAATTTATTTATTTGTTTTTAGTAGTTTCAGTGAGCCAATTTACAATGTGATCCCTGCTTCCCTGGCCAGCTGGCCCACAGCAGCTTGCATGCATACTAGTCACGCTAGCATCCTCTAAAGCAGGCTGACCATGTGCACACAACATCGCATTTGAAGCAATCTGTATCCTGCAGACCTTCTCTGTACACAGATTATGTTTTGGGCTCAGTTTTCTTCCTGGTCTTACATGGTCCCTCTTTGATCCTGAGACACGGCAATAATTTTTTTATGAAGTTCTATAACACCAATAATTTTTTATAATGTGTCTAGACAGTCACAGCCTGGCTCCTGCCATACTTACAGCATGATCCCAAGGGTTTGTATTATGCAGAGAAGGCTGTGGATGTTTGTGGGGGCATAGCCCTGCCAGAGCATCTGAACTCAGGGGGGCAGAAAGTGACCTGGTACAATCCTGCTTATAGGAGAGGTTCCTGGATTGATCCAACCAGTCTTGGAGAGACACAGCTTTTTTCCTACAAAAAGGATGCAGGACAGTTTTAGGAACCATGCATGTCAATAATTAAGGGCACAGGACCCTGGAATTATATGGTGTGATCCAAACTGACAGTATAGATGAACAGATATTCTCTTTAGTTGCCTGAAAGTCCATGTATTCACATGTCCAGAAAAGCAGGGAAATATCATAGCAGTTCTTTGTCTTTCCAAGGCCAGGCATGACATTTTTTGGCAGAAAATTAGTCCTTTTTTGGCTTGAATAAGAGTCCTTTGATTCTGTTAAACTCTTCCAGATAGTGTCTGGCAAGAAATATCCCTAATATGATCAGACAGATAGAAAAAATTGAAGACTGAAACAAGTTTGATGGCATCCGCTCCCAAACCAGACCAGAAGTCTGACATCTCATAAGATCACCAGCTTTAGCCATATTCCATGACTGAAGGAAGGCAGGGACTATTAGGTTTTAAAACTGAATTTTTTGTTTCAATAGAAGTTATGCAAGTTCTTGCTGTAGGAGCTTAACATGCCCAGCTGCTACAACACTCACCCTCCATTGCCTGCTCTCTCTTCTGGGTTGAAGGTTCTGCAATCTGCTTGTAATTTCATTATGTCATTAGCAATTAATTTGGGAACAGAAATAGTTGTAATTCTCACTTCATGGAAAGAGAGCAGTGGTTATGGATGTGTAAGGTCCATGTGACTGAGATTGAAATACAGGAATTGCCTTGGCAGTAAATACTGTAAACTGAAGACTAAATTGTTGGGTAGTATAATTTTAAAGAAATAATTAAATACTACTCCTGTATTAGTGGTGAATTTTGACTTGTCTTTTGATTGTTTTTATTTCATTATTTTTTATGCTGTTTCTGGACTTGGTCAAATAACTGCCTTCTGATGACTTTATTACTCTTTTTGGCAGGAATATCTGGATGTTTTAGGAAGACCAATGGTTTTAGCTGGAGAGAAAGCCAAGCAAGTTCAATGGACAAATGTCTATCTGGATGCTCTGGTATGATGTGTATTTATCTCTAGTAAAGTAGGAATCTTATCAAATCAGTAACTATAGGGGTCCATTTTCCACAGTTCTGAGGACTCAATTTCCTAGAGTTCCAAACATAATATTCTCACAGCATCTGTACACTTCAATAGAGCAATTTTCTGAACAGCTATTTCTAATGTGTTGGTCATTACTTGCATCTAGTATCCTCCTAAGTGTCCTGAAATTTAACAGAGAAAAGCAATTTATCCTACACACAGATCTTTAAGTGTATGTCATTGTTGTCCTCAAATTAACAAAAGAAAAAAGCACCTAATAGTTTTCTAGTGCTGTACCTGTGCTGCAGTAGATGTCATCTGTTATGTTACTGGTGTGGAGATCTTTTTTCTTTTTTTTTAAAGCATTTCAGACAGAATGAAACCTGTCAATGTTACTGGGTATTTGCACAGATTTTGAACTTGGATCTCTAAACTATCATGGTTGTTGTAATTACTTGCTTGCTCAAGGTAATGATTTTTTTTTAATTGGATAGTGTATATAATGGGGAAATAAACAAAAAGATATATGAAATGCTTTCCTTGCTGCTGAATTTATCACTTCAGTCTTGTAAAACAAACATATTCAGGAAACTACGAAATACAAAGCATTATTAGCAGCAATCCAATCTGTTGCTCTAGATAACCTTCTTCTGAGTAACTCTAACTACGCAAAAATTACTGCAAAATGGTCATCTGGAATCATGTATTTATCCAAGTTCACTTGGTCATCTAATGTCATGGCAAAATCCACTTCTTCCTGTCAGTCAGCATTACTGTAAAATTTTTATCAACACATCATAGAACTGAGTGTGATACAGAGGAGCTAGTTTTTCTTTGGAATTTCAATGGCCAGAAGTTCATTAACCATGTGTTCTTGGTTACTGTTGAGGTACTTACTGGAAACATAGAGGATGTTATGACGAAAGTTCATATGTTCTGTACATATCCTGTTGTAAAGCCAAAGCTCAATTTGTAACTGGGGATAAAGAGAGATCTGTTTATTGAAGTAAAACGAGTGATACCTGCAGACTTCTGTTGTGTTGCTTTATATTTTCAGTGGGTTCATTCAGTTTTTCCTTCAAGCTTTTCTCCATTCATGTGTTATGTATGTTTGTTTGTGTATATATAAATTTATATATATTTGTGTGTGTGCATACATGTACATTTATAAAAAGTCAGAGATGTACTTTTTACTAATATATTTATTAAGTGAAGACCAACCCAAGCTAAACTGTTGAGGTAAATTTGTGGACTTTCTCATCACAGATGAGAGCATAAAGGCACAGGTGTATTTAATCAACTCTGATTCTTGATTTTAGCAGGGATGGGGACTAACTTGTCACAGTGGTTCTTTGTCTTAAATTCCCGAAAGCAATTCCCTCCTGTAGGGCTTGCCCTTCTCCTGCTTGTGCCTCACTGGGCTTTGTCCTATCCTTTTTTCTTACTGTCCAGCAGCTGTTTTGGGGCTAAGGCTAAAAAAATGCAAAGTATATTACATGAGGCCACATTTGAATTGAGCTTAAATTCAGGTTATGAAATCCTAAAGAGATACTGTCATTTGATGCTGACTTTCAAGACCATCTTTAATAATTTGATGTATTTGTGGCAATTCACGCCTCTTTTCTTGCCCTGTTCCTTCAGGTTCTGTAACAGTGTTGCTCTGATCTCAGTTTCTGCAAGATAATCCCAGAATTTTCAGATACTTTCAGGTTTACCAGTTAGTCATAATTTATTCACAATTATTGTCCTCTCTAACTGTACATTTTTGGGGGAGGAGAGGGTGTTATTCCCCATACATACCCCTCCTGCTTCATTATGCATCTTTTCAATTCTCCTTCTAGAAAATATCATCCTCTCTTTTCTTCTGATTCATCTCCATTTCTTGTTTCTCTTATTCTCCTAAAAAGTCCAGTTCTCCTTCTCTTCATCTTGCTTGTTGTAACGTTACTAACTCTGATCTCATCACCTTTCATTCAATACACAAACTTAAGCTCATGAAGGATGGTTTAAAATTCAAAATGGTGCTACTAGACTGGGCAAACAGAAAGCTGATTTCATTAGAGTGGATTAATATTTTAGCTTATTTTTTTCTAATAAAACAAAGGCAGAGAAGTGATACAGTTCATCACGAAAATACATGGAACTAGTAAGTGTCAGTGAGGGGGGGGGAATCTGAAATTAAAAATAAACATTAGGACAAAAAAAGGTAGAATAGAATCATAGAGTCATAGAATGCTTTAGGATGGAAGGGACCTTTAGAGGTCATCTAGTCCATCCCCCCTTGCAATTGGTAAAGCTGCCTGTGGACAATTGGGGATGGAAGACAAATCTCTTCAGGCTATTTAAAAGTATGGTTTTCTGGATCCTATTTTCAGTATGAGTTGTGACTGTTCATAGAAGAAAAAACAAATTTCTTATATCTTCCCAAATAAGTGCAAAACCCTTGCCTCAGTACCAGAAGAGACTGTGTGATTTTGCAGAACTGATGAAGGATATTATTGCAAGCCATTGAAAAGTAGTGATGATACGAAAAGTAGTAGTATTACCTGTTAGATTTTTCTGTTGATTATGCCTGTATGTATTTGTTGCCTACCTATTTACTATCTTTACGTTTAGATTGGCTTTCTCTGTTTTTCTTTTCTTTTTTCTTTTCTTTTTTTTTTTTTCTCCCCCCCCTACTAGCTGGAGTTTTTAGTATAGTGTGAACTGTAGCTGTAAACATGTTTTCATAACATTTCGTTTTTATTAAACTATTATATCCTAAGTTGATGCACACCATCTATTTTTAAAAAGCAATTTATTATTCTCACCAACACACAGACACAAAAAATGTAATTTTAACTTTCTATGCATAAAATTATGCAGTATTATTTATTAATTATTTAGTCTTAATTATGTAGTATTATTTTTTCTTTTTTTACAAACTATAAGTCTGTACTCTAATCTAGTGTTTGGCTCCAGTGGATTGCAGTGTTTAGCTACCTGGATTGTTCTAATATATTATAGTTCAATATTTGTTATTTAACTAAAAAGTCTTTTTTTCCCCTCTGTGTGATTATTTCCTAGGAGCTGGGCCTTGTGATTACTGGAACTCTACCTGTCTTCAATCTAACAAAAGAACAAAATGGGAAAATAGTAAGCTGTTACTTAAAGAAAGAAAAAAAACCCCACATTTATTTGAATTAAATTTAATGCTAAACTCCTTGAAAAAATGTGTATTTCCATACAGCTTTCTGCAGTTTGTCTTGTACATCAGAAACAAAGGGGTTATCTCTAGCTGCCTGATAACCTCCTGGGAACAAGAAAATGCAGATCGCCCTTTTTGTAGTTCTGAGTTTCAGGGTATGAAATACCTTGATCTATCTCTGTGACCTGGTGGCAGTGGGAGTGCATTAAGTGCTCAATAGATGGGAAGCATATGATGATATTATTCAGGTCTTGCCAAGAAAGGACAGTCAGATATATTTGTAACAAGCCTGTGAAGCTATGACATTTCAAGGTAAAAGGCGATGATGTAGAGTCTTTAAATTAATTGTTTGTAATGATAATAGAAAATAGCACTGTGTACTTAGATTAAAGTCTAAGTATTAAATAAATACAATTCCCCATCCCTATTACAGTCTGATAAGGAAAGTCCTTTTCACAAAATCAAAGTGCTGCTTTTTTAAAATCAGACCTAGAATATGCTTTACAATGTGTGGTAAAATGCAGTAAGTTTGGTGGGATACTCCTGTTCATTCAGGTCAAAATACACAGAAGTTTAGACAAGATAGTCTTTGATTCAGTTTCTGAGATATTACATAGACTCAGAATGAATAAATATGAATTTGATCACTACCGTTTCTTTTATTTACTTTCAGAATAGTTCTCTCAGTTTCCCTTTAAAAACAAAACAAAACAAAAAGGTTTCATAATTCATAATACAAGATAATGCCTGGAATTCACTGAGTCTGGTTGCAAAGTGAGAGACTACTGTTTATCAAAGGATGACTTTCTGAGAAGTAAAACAGCCGTGGTCTAGTTCAGAGGACCTGGATGGAACAAGAGGAAAACTGGAATCTGCTCGACTTAGGTCTCTATATGAATTTTAGGTTACAGACTGCAAGATGCATCTTCCAATACATATTCCAAATTGATTTAATATGGAGAAGGGATTCAGGTGATACTATGTAAATGACTGCTCCCCTTTTCTGTAGTAGGAAAATAAATTACAAGTGAAATAAATGTAGTGCCCGAGTCCCTGACTTCAAATGCTGATGATTGTTTTAGTCAGTGGGGTTTTTTTTGGTTTGGTTGGGGTTTTTTTCACTCGTCATTATACCATAGCCAAAAGAGGTTAATTGTTTTGTGGTCTCACTTATCAATTACCCAACCCAAGCGTGCAATAGTAGCTCTGTATTGGTGCTAGTAATTTAGTATCTACATCATTGCCAATATTAATGCATCACTTTTGCTTTCACCTCTTTTGTTCTTAAATTTATTGTTTATTCATCCAGGAAAGCAGCAGTATTCATCTTCATAAACAGTTTTCATATTCTATACTAAATTCTGAATGTATTGAATATTATTTTGAATCACTTGGATATTATTTAAAATATTTGGAAGAGAAACATAAGCAAATAGGCAACTTTTCAAGTAGTATCTGTCAAACGAGACAAAGACAAAGTCAAAATTCACTGACTTGCAGTTATTACGCATTGTAAATATGCCAAACGTATTCTAACATTTTGGAATCTTACCAGAATCAGCTGATTCTTGGAGTAATGGGGGTTGATGTCTCTTTGGAGGACATAAAAAAACTGACACCCCGATTTACGGTAAGTTTCTTGTGTTGGTGGTTTCTCTTTATGTCTGATTTATGTATGATTTCTTTGCATGCTCTTTCATAAGTCATGCAGCAATGACTGGATGTGAGTCAAAATACCAGCAGGCTTCTTTTCATATATTCTTTTCCATTGTTGTAGATTTTCTGACGGTTTTCTCTCCAGCCATATATGTGCTTCTGTGTGAATTGCCCATCAGGATGCATCTGTAAAAGCCAACTTTTACATTGGGGGATGTACTCCAAGTAATTATTTTCCTGTAGCTTAAGGCACTGCTGTTTAGCTGAGTGTTTGGTTCTTATCACAATGTAGAGTACGCAATCATTTCATCTAATAATAATACTTAGCATTTATATAAGGCAATTCTTTATAGAAAAGTTCTTTAATATACATGTTTGTCTGTACCCTACTCTGTATGATTGATTTATATATTGACATCTAGCTAGGGAACTTGTAAGAAAATAACTATTACTGTGGAAAACAACAGCTGAGGAAGCAAAGGAACATCACGAATTTGACCAAAAGCAAATGCAAAGTCCTAGAATGGAATAATCCAATGCCTCAGTACAGGCTGGGACAGACTGCCTCAAAAGGCAGGAAAGGGCCTGGGGGTCATGGTGGAGGACAAGCGGAACATAAGTTAGCAGTGTGCCCTTACAGTAAAGAAGGCCAACTGTGCAATGAACAGCTGGAGTACTGCGTCCAAGTTTGATCTCCTCAGCACAAGAAATAATAGACTGAGATGCTGGACAGAGTCCAATGCAGAGCCACTAAGTTAGCTAAGGGGCTGGAGTACCTGGCATATGAGGAGAAGCTGAGAGATGTAGGTTTGTTCAGATTGAATAAGAAACCTAACAGGTTACCTAATGGGAGTTATAGAGAAGATAGACCTTGACATTTCTTGAAGGTTTATAGCAAAAGACGAAGCAATCGACATCATTGTGGCAATGGAAATACCAACTGCAAATAAGGAAAAAAAAATCATTGCAAGGATGGTTAAACACTGGAGCAGGTTGCCCAGAGAGGTTGTGGAATTGCCATTGCAGGTATTCAAAGACCCTTTAAAACCTAGTTCAACTTTGACATTGGATCTTATTTTCATGTTAGCTCTGCTTTCAGTGAAAGGTTGTACCAGGTGACCTCCAGAGGTCCCATCAGCCTAAATTACTCTCCCAAGTTTATGATTCTAAAAGAGTATATTAAGAAATTATTTACTCTATGTTCATATCTCACATATTTCCTGATGCCTGAGGAAATTTATTTTCCTCAATGTGATCATTTCTTGAAAACTTTATTTATTGCTTTATTTATTACTTAAAACCTTGTAATGCTAAACCTCATTTCTTTTTTTCAGCTTTGTCCAAACGGATACTATTTTGCGATTGATCCTAATGGGTATGTGCTACTTCATCCAAATCTCCAACCAAAGGTATGAAAAACCTTCTAATTTATTTCTCTATTATAAGGGGAAATTGTCAGAAATAACAGAAACATCTAAGATCTACTGAAAGTGCCAGAGAGCAATAGTAAAGATTTCTCAGTTGTGGGGGTGTCAGGAAAATCTGTGGTGCATGTATGGCTTCATCCAAATCCACTTTAGTCAGTACAAGACCAGCATTGGCTTGTATTGAGTTTGGTTATCAATAAAGTAAAAAAGATGTATATTTTACATGCAGAATTATATATGTGAAATAAGTGGTTTAATATACATACTAATATAAAACCAGCTAGTGGTAGCTGTAATATCATTGTGAAGAACTTGTAGTGTGTTACAAGATGCTCTCACAGCAAACAGGAGTTTACTAGTGCACGTGCTTATTTTGTGATGCTTTCTCATTTCAGAAATTGAAACTTTCATACTTGCCAGACCACAGAAATCAGGGCAAACACAATGTATTTAGCTTCTATTTTTGTATTTGTTTATTTGCTTATTTTCTGTTTACCAGAGCTGAAACCGAGCTGCAGAGTTGGGATGGATCTAGCA